AGTTTGTCAATGTGCCCCCTAAACCAGATATAAAAGTGGTTTTGACTGAAAAAGCTGTTTGGTCACCATATGTGCCCCTAAATACTTTTACAAACCACCATATGAACTATCTTTGTCAATGTACCCCCTAAACCACTTTTATATCTGGTTTAGGGGGCATATTGACAAACCTGTATAGTTCATATGATGGTTTGTTAAAAAAATAGTTTATATGGTGATGCGCCAAAACCGTAATAGTTCGGATGAGAAAAAATATTTTCCCCGAAAAAAGAAAAGAAAAATGTTATGTGGCCGTCCCGATCACACCGATAGACTCGTACGCAGTGGAAGCTCGTCTGCTTGCTCTCTGACCGCAATGCAGCCGCTTATCGATCTCCCAGAGATGCTGCTCGTGTCCAGGGCTACCGGACAACCTTCTTCTTGGCCCGGGCTGATCCCAGCTCCCCTTAACTCGCTCGTTTCAGCTCCTTTTCACCTGAACAGAAACACACAGTTAACAAGTGATTAATAGCAAGCACCAACAGAGAATAGAAGGGAAAAATAGATACACTAAGTAAAATACTGGGAAATAAGGAAATAAAAAGGGAAGAAACGAAGAACTCCCTTTCGACCGAAATCTGGCCGGAAAATGACGACACGAAGTGTCCCGGCTCAGATTATCCTCTTTCCCGGCACCCTCGGTAAGTCCGGCTCGGCGGTGACCAACGGACGGCAGCCCCGGTTCCTTGGCCCAATCCCCGGGCTGCGCCTTCACACACGGCCACGCACCCGGTCACCCCGTCACCAAAGCTCACGTCTCACAAGGAGACTCGCCTGAAAGCCCAAGTGGGTCTAGCCGGCGATTAGAGCTCGACGACGGTGCGACGGCACGATGGCGGTAATCCAACGGTTCTCACGGCGTCACTCACTGCAGCTCTCACAAGGGAGGTCACAGAGAAAAGGAGAGAACAGATAAGTGAGAGAGACAGCGACCGGTTTTCTCACAGAGAGAGAGATTAGGCGCAGCAGCAGCGAGCGAGAGAGTGAAGTGTGTTAGGTTAGAATTAGGGTAAAGAGAGATGAGGTATTTAAGGTGTAGGATGGATGGTGTGGATTTATTCCCTAAATCCAAGGGTCCAAATTAATTCCTACCAATAAGTGTGTAAAGGGCCAGGCCCAGACGGGAATGGGCCGGGGCTTCCTTGGGCCTGAGATAGGGTAAGTGGTTTTGGGCTAAATATCCCAACAAAAAATTAATAAGATTATGGCTCACATGACATTATTTGGTCCACTTAATTTATTATTGGTATCATTGTTTATTTCCCATTTGCAGAATTTCAAAAATCTCAAAAGGCCTACTCACCACTTCATCGTCTCCTCTCTTTACATTTCTTACACGAGAAAGGATATCCAAAAGGCGCTCTCTCTCTCTCTCTTTCTCACACACACCGAACAATACAAATACAAACTATACAATATACCAAATATATTCACACGCATACATCATATCTAAACTTACCCATTCTTGGATGTGAAAATCAATCTCTACGGGCCACACCGTCTCTGTTTCTCTCTCCCTCACACAACACATACCAAGAAAATATAGACGTCTATGTATATAATCTCTGGTTAATCTTAACAAACTCAGAATTTTGGTAAAGAAAAAGAACAAAAAGAGAGAGAGAGAGAGAGAGAGAGGGCCTTTAGCCCTCAGCCTCAATCTATGCCTCCTCCCAGATCTTGATTTTGATCCCTTTTTTTCTTCTGGGCCTTGATTGATCGGTATGTAGAAGCGCATATCTCATTGTGTATTGATCTTATTTGCTTGTTTATAGTTAAAAAGTTTTCATCTTTATTATTTTCTTTCAGGGGGTTCGATTGTGGGTTCTATTGATTTGCGATCTGTTGAAGGCCAGATGATCTCCTCTTGAACCCAAAAAAAAA